GCGACAGAGACGTTTGATATGATCAAGCAGGCTTACCCAGATGTTGCTTTAGCAAGAAGTGGTGTGTTTCAGTGGCACCAGGTCTTTTAAGAGGGCCGGGAAGAGGTCGCCGATGAAGACCGTGCTGGAAGACCTTCGAATTCGACAAACACCGACAATGTGACTCGTGTGCGCGAAGTTTTGAACTCAGACCGTCGACTAAGTATTCGTTTAATTGCCCAGATATTAAATTTACCAAAATCTGTGGTTCATGACGGAGCATTTGAACATGCGTAAGGTGTGCACGAAGATGGTCCCAAAAGTGCTCAGTGACGACCAGAAATTGCGGCGAGTGGAAGTGTGCCAAGAAAGTTTAAACATGTGTGAAAGTGACCCCCAATTTTTGAACAACGTTATCACAGGTAACGAGTCATGGATCTTTGAGTATGATCCCGAGACAAAGAGGGAATCTTCCGAGTGGCACACGCCGGCGTCTTCTCGCCCAAAAAAGGGAAGAATGAGCAAATCCAAAGTGAAAACGATGCTCATTGTCTTTTTTGACATGAAAGGCATCGTCCACCATGAATTTGTTCCTCCAGGACAAACCGTCAACGCCAAGTTTTACGTGGAAGTGCTCAAGAGACTCAAATGAAGGGTCAATCGGATCCGACAAGACATCGCAGCCGACTGGAAGTTGCACCACGACAACGCCCCGGCTCACACCGCCTTTCTTGTGGACAGCTACCTGACCAAGGCCGGCATCCCAACGCTTCCGCAGCCGCCCTACAGCCCAGATGTGGCCCCCCCCCCCCGATCTTTTTTTTGTTTGCTCGCTTGAAAAGGCCGATGAAAGGCAAGCATTTTGACACGACAGAGGGAATCCAAACAGCATGCACCGCGGCTCTTATGACTATTCCGGAGAATGACTTCCGTGACGCCTTCAATGCTTGGAAATCGCGCTGGCAGCACTGCATCGACGCAGAAGGAGCCTACTTTGAAAGTTTTTAAAGAATTGTAACTACTGGCTCAATAAATTTTTTTAAATCGACTCAGTCCTATTACTTTCCGGACAAACCCTGTATCTTTTGTTTACCTCTAATATTGATGTTTCCAGTTTTGGCCACCATATTGCACACCTCCTTTTCACTCTTCGTATATTCAGGTTGTTTCGTCTTGATCTGATTGTTGTATTTGTCCAGTCCAAGTCGCTCCCTCAACAATAAAATGTGCCTGACTCTTTCAACTTCTTCCAAACGAGTTAATTTTTCTAATTCCCATTGGTGATCGAAGATAAGCGAGTCACCGTGTGGCCTCCAACCGTGCAAATTTTCTTCACCTCTGACATAAGTCGAACTGGTGTCCAGCACTCTCCTCTGGCGACGCTGAACTCCTGGTAACAAACAAAATCCATTTGAAGAAAAAATGAAAAAACAAAGCAGAACCACAAGTATCCCGAAGAAAGAGAATAAATGTCTGCTACTAGTATTTCATTCTACTAGTGGAGTAAATGCATTGTAGAACAACTGAAAGCAGGGAAGAAATAAATCATTCAACGAAACTCTGAAAGATACATAAAACTGAAGAAGAAGAAGAGTAATAGAGGAAAGCCTAAAAATAAAGAAGGATACTATTCTAGGGATCTACCTGGACTACCTGCTTCATTAGCTCTTCTTAATAGAAGTTCGTACACTCCGGTTAAACGATTTGCTTCTGCGTTCCTGTAACTTCCAGAGAACAAGTGTTTCAGAGAGCGAGGTCCAATTCGAGCATCGCGCCCATAAATGACCATACTCAGATCTTTTGTTATTATGGCTGGTCTACCACAATTTTCGAGCTGAAAAAATGCAAAAGGCAATGGGTTACCAAGTAAAGTTTCGTTCCCAAAAATATACCTCCAAATATGCCGATATCGTCATGAATATTTGCTCGCCAGGTGACGTAACCCTGTTAAGTAAAGGCGAATTGTGCAAGGAACTATCCCAGGCTGCTTCGAACCTGAACATCGTCCTGTTATCACCAGGTATTTCTAAATATTCCCCTGGGAACAATCCCAAGGACAATACGGAATTGTCGTTGTCTTCATCCTCATCAGATTCAGGAGTATTTCGTATTCTTCCAACAACTAGTTCTCTCACATCTCTCCAACGTAACTCAGCTGAATCGTCATGAACGATTGTGATCCTAATTCGACGTTGGATGCCCTGTAACAAAGGAAAAAGAAAAGGTTGAATAAGGATAAAAATACAAGGAAAAGGTGAGAATATACCTGATGGAGTAAAAATAGACCTCTGCAAGGTAATTCGTCACTGTGTTCGACTACTGATGGAACATACTCTCCATTAGGAGCAAGTTCACATATTTCAAACCAAACCAGAACATCAACCTTAGCATGTATATGAGCAGTACACGGAGACGGTAGGGCTCCAAATTTGCTCGATCGAACGGGTTGAGAGATTGGAATGGAAGGTGGTTGCATTCTCCGGGGAGGCTGCCTGACGGTACCCTCCAACTTGGCATCTTTATGCAAAGGATGTTGCTGATAATGACCGAAAACTTCGAAAACGACGGGCTGAGATTTGATGTATTCAATGAACGTTTTTGTAACGGGTACGGTAATCTAATGGATAAAGTGGGTATTATTCTGAATTTGAAGTTTTCGTATGAGACTTACGTTTTGAACATGATAAAAACCAAGAGGTGTTCCTTTGCCAGTATTCTTGACTGGCTCTGTTGAAAACGCCTCATCATGACGATGTAGGAAGCTGTAAAAAATGTTGCAGGTAATGAGTTTTAGTAATTTTTATTCAGCGAATGTCTTACTTGAACTGACAAAACACGTCCGCGTATTCTGCTGATATACCAATAGCTTGTAAAACTGTAACCCTGAATGTAAATTCTTTTCCAACACCAAGATGATCAGGAATTTCTTCCTCTTTAAAATCAGATGCTACAGAGCTATCTCCTTTACCAGAATCTGCGTCACATTCGATCAACTCGTCAATCTTAATCGGATCAAGATTACAGTGACCTTCAATTATACGATCGTCGAGATTATGGATATTTTTGTCAATAATAGCTGTAAAAATCTCGTGTTCCAAATCTCCAATTCTTCCGAAACGATTTAACTTACCTTTGGGCGACTCAAACGCAATTCGAACACTTTGTCTAACGCCAACTTGATCAGCATTATCATCCTCATTAACAGCCTGAACTGCGACCCTTAGATAACCTCGAACGTCACCCTTCTCATTAACAATGGCAACTTTATGGATTAGGGTAACCGGATATAACAAATTACTTAAATAAACGAATGACCTTCCGACCATTCTGAACCAGGGAAATCTATCATAAAATGGGTCTCCCCCAGTGAGACTTTCAACGTTGTAATCGGGAGACGTAGGAGATAATTCAGCCTCGTTGTGATACATTTCCCTCATTAATTCTAACCTTTGTCTGAAATGAAAAATATAAACCACTAAAATATTCCCTTTCCATGTTTAAAACATCCCAAGCCGATACAGGTTGGTGCCAAACTAAAGATACAGGAGGTAAGAATACAGTTCCACTTTTAAAATGAATTAAACACAATAGCCTCTAAACTATACATTCGCTGGACATGGAATATACAAATTAAGTTTAATTTAATTTCAGCTATTGTGTCTATTTGGTTGTACGTAAGTGTAAGTATTGGGCAAAGATACTGCCAATGTTGGGGTCCGTCAAATGGGCATACACCATCTGGTGGCAAAATTTATAACTCGAATGAGGGAAAAATTTACATAGGAACTGTGCACGCAAATTGTAAAATTGTTTATTAAAATAATAAAAAACGTTAAAAAAGTAAAAATTTTTTTGATGATGGAGTCGACGAAGTTTTCTTAAAAGCTGCAATAGCACTTCAGACATAGATCTTCACTCTTCACTTACATTAACTACTTTCCAATAAAAACTAACCGTTTTATATATGTAAAAAATATATTCGGAAAATTAGAGAAAAAAGTAAACCAATAGAAGCTTGGATGAAAGCAGTAGGTATCAAAGAAGTGAATTCCGGAATAAAAATTTGTTCACGTCATTTTAATGCACATGATTATATTTCAGCAAGTATNTTTTACAATACTATTGGGATCCGTCAAATGGGCATACACCATCTGGTGGCAAAATTTATAACTCGAATGAGGAAAAATTTACATAGGAACTGTGCACGCAAATTGTAAAATTGTTTATTAAAATAATAAAAAACGTTAAAAAAGTAAAAATTTTTTTGATGATGGAGTCGACGAAGTTTTCTTAAAAGCTGCAATAGCACTTCAGACATAGATCTTCACTCTTCACTTACATTAACTACTTTCCAATAAAAACTAACCGTTTTATATAAGTAAAAAGTATATTCGGAAAATTAGA